AGTTATTTTTGTTATAAGAAAAAAGTTATTAAACCTGTTATACTGTATTATGACAGCACTTTTTTAAACTAAATTTCAATACCGTGACAATACCGTATACCGTGATGAAAGCATTAGCAATTAATCGCAACATGAAAATTTAATACCGGCATACCCCTAATGCCATAGTGAAAAATTGTATTTGAAATAAATTTATTTCTTGCTAAGTATACTGCAAATACATTTACATATTTATGTACTTAATAAAAATAACCTGCAACACATAACATCTGCTAAAATAAATGTATTTTAAATATAGTCATTTTTTACTAGGGTGGGGCCAAACATTAATAAATAATAATATATTTATAATAAATAATAAATATATAATATATAATATAAATATATATAATAAATATAAAGAAATGTATAAAATAAATAATATTACATTTATAAGTTAAATTGATTAATAATATCAAATGATTAACTATACATTTTATTTTAAAAGAATAGTTCACGTTAAAATGAAAATTCTGTCAATAATTAGCCTATTCACCCTCATGTTTTTCCAAACCCGCAAGACCTTTGTTCATCTTCACAACACAAATTAAGATATTTTTGATTAAATCCAAGAGCTCTCTGACCCTCCGTCGACACATACGTCATGGTACTCTCCAAAATGATGCCAGGGTGATGCGGAGGAGAAGAATTGTTAAATAAATTTGTTATTTTTGTTTTCTTTGCGCACAAAAAGTAATCTCGTAGCTTGTAAAATTAAAGTTGAACCACTGATGTCACATGGACTATTTGAATGATGTCCTTACTACGTTTCTGTGCCTTGATTGTGGTAGTACCCTTGCTGTCTATGGGAGGGTCAGAGAGCTCTTGGATTTAATCAAAAATATCTTAATTTGTGTTCCGAAGATGAACGAAGGTCTTACAGGTTTGGAACGACATGAGGGTGAGTAATTAAAGTGCCCCTATTATGGATTTTTGAAAATTACCTTTCAGGCAATGTGTAAGACAGCTCTAAGTGAATGAAAACATCCTGCAAAGTTTTAAATCTGAAACTGCACCGTGTACAATGTTATTGTCTCTCAAAAGAAAGAGTTGACTCTGAATCATTGAAACGAGTCGTTTTTAAAACGAGTCTCAAGCCATTTCATGTTGATGTCCACATGAAACTTTAGCATATTGCCTGCCCACTTGTTGGTCTTTTGCATTGGTCTGAATAAAAATGCAAATTCATTCTTTGCCACTAGGTGCCGCTTTTGGAGCAGTAAAAATAGCGGTTTCCCCGGTAACGCTGTACACAAAGCAGCACTGCACTCATAAACGCTGCTTTATCAGGCATTACAGGCATGATGAAATGAAAATGAGACCAATCGGACTAAACACCGCAGATTAGCATCACGCAAAGGAGGGGTTTGGAAAAATGAATCGTTCAGCGAATCGTTTGGGAGTCGTTGAGCAAGTAAGGTAAAAATAAATGCATATTATAAGACAATGAAAGTGTTTTTTGACCTAGCATGCATGTCAACCTGTTTTTGTGACTCCCAAAACCAAAATACAAACCTTTCATTACCCATAATAGGGGCACTTTAATGACAGAATTTTCATTTTTGGGTGAACTATCCCTTTAAGTAAATATTTATATTATACAAATATATTTGCATTATACATAAAAACTATTTATATTAAAATTGACATTTCAAAATACACATTATACTGTATAGAGAGAGAGCGAGAGAGAGAGATTAATTACTTTATTACTTATTATTTATTTATTTATTTACACAAGTATGTCTGTGTTTGATGATGTTCCAGGGCATTGGAAATAAATTCTCAAGTGACGTGAACTTCAGCAGTACCCTGTAAATCAGAATGCAGCTACTAACTGCACAGGGTAATGCTCCACACATTACAATTGTTAGAATTCTGCCTGATGCCTTTTAATTACAGAGAATGCAAAAGAATCTCTGAATGCAATGATAGCAATGCAGTGCATTTTGATTACAAAGCAATTCCAAAGGAATCCTTAAGTGTTAGTTACTGATCGCACAATAAAGCGGAGAGCTCGTGAGGTGTTCTGTTCATGCCCTTGACATTCTCTGAGATGATGCACTGCACCATACACAGGCAGACAGGTCACTGAGTTCACCCCATTAGAGTGCAGCGATTTGAGAGCAGCTTCACAGCCCTGGCACATGAAACCCATACAGAGAGGGCATTATTCAGGGCATAATTTACTTTGCTCACACATTTTCAATGCAATCATGGCAGATCAATAATACCACTGAGATGCTGAGGAAATAAAGAAAAGTCCCACATGATCTCAGCGTCTGAGCTAAAATAATTAATCAAATACCAATGCACCTTCAAAATACCACATCAAACTGCACATTTCAGAGAATTTTAGTAGACAGAAGGATGAATACATCAAGTAAATTATGTAATATGTTCAAATGTGCTTGTGAGTTGATCAAAAAGAATTAATCACTGTTATTTCAAAAGAACAAACTTACAATTATGTAACGAAATAGGCTTTTTTGACAGATCCAGTATGCAGATTAATCATCTATTAATATTAAAATGCACTGTAAAAATATTTCAACATAAAACTGGCTTTGGCAATGCCAAAACAGCATAGACCCTAGTTTTATATTTAAATACATTTATTTCATACTAAGTATAATTCAAATCTATTAACATATTTACTGACATATCGCTTGTGATTTACTGATATCAAAATTATAATTACATTTTATTTGGAGTACTACTTGTCCACAATGCACATTTCTTAATATTAAAATGTGTTTTAATGTCAATATTGATGAGGATTGTATGATCTTTGAATAATATCGGTCTTTAAATACAAGATTTTTAAAGTGTACCTGAAGTATTCTTGCAATAGTTCCGCTTTATTACAATCAAATATACTTCAGAGTATCTTTAGACAGATTTCAGCACTACTTCCACACAATTAAAGTGCATTAAGTACAAAATTAGTTGTTCCAATTTAGCAGTTTAGTATACTAAAAATACAACTGCAGCATATTTTTATGAAGTACATAAATATAGAAAATGTATTTGTAGTATAAAAGGCATGAAATAAATGTATTTCAAATACACTGTTGTATATTTATTTTTCACTAGGGGAACAGGATATGAATTTATAAATATGACCAAGGTGAAGACTTGGCTTATCAATATTAATTAGCTAATATGCCTGTATGTGCTAGAAAGATTACCTGGCAATGTCAGCATGACGTTAATTAATATTCATGAGCTCAGGCTCAGTGCCATATAGTGACGTCTTAAAACTCATTCTAGCGTCACTGTTAAGTTATGATATTCTCAGCATATCATTCTCTAAAAGTGGTTCAGAACAGCAGTGTCAGATCTTGAGGGTCACAAGAGTGAGATCTTTGCTGCAGCTGTTCTAAAGGTCAGTATCCATCTGTAGTCAAGATCGCTGAAGAACTGCTCTAGAGAAGATGTATACTCACCATTAACTATTCCAGTGCCATTCTCCACTTTGCTCTTCTGAGCCGTCTTAAACTCTTTAAGTGAGAGGTAGAGCACCCGGCGGACCACTCTCTCCTCCGACCACGGGATCCCATCGTTATCATCCTGCAGAAGGAAAAAAAGCTTATTTTAGAGCTCTAAAAATGAAACAGATGTGACCTAAAGTCATCTCACAAGAAAAATGTGCTCTCTAAATAAACCGTTTTGGGTTAATTAGTCAAACAATAGTCAAATAAATGAAATGACAAACACTGAGAGTGGACAAGAAAAAAAAAAACGATTGTATTGTGAAACCACAGCTATACAGACAGAAGACTGTGCTATAAATAGTGTAGTTGGCTGCGGTTTCTCCATTCCAGCACGTGTCAGAAAGCCTTTTATTACTGAATGCTCCACAAGCAATCACAACAAATGCTCTCAGTGTTAGTATAACATTTGTTCCCCACAGATGACCTAATGTGCTGTAGTAAGACATCTTTCAAACTAGGTAGCTGAATGTCCTCACTGTTTTTCACATTTCTCTTAAAGCATCAAAACAAGTCTTTCATTCAGTAACGTGATCTCTTATATACTGTTAAATCTCTTTAATATAACAGTCAGTTGATTTAGCCCGTCACAATAAATCACCAGAAATGGGGTAACAACCAAGCTTGGTCTCAATCATGTCCTCTAGTGTTGCGCTGTCACTAAATTGCCCACCAACAGGCTAGTTACATGGGAAACAATACAATACAAAGCTGTCACTTGGGTAAAGTACACTGCTGTCCCTTATTTACCCGTAAATGGTACATACTAGTACCTCAAGTGTACATATTAGTTACTTTTAGATTTTGTGCCTTAGGGTATCCAGTGACAGCTTTGTACCTTTTTTTCTGCGAGTGTACAATGGTTCAGGAGGTTGCACAGAACCCCTTCTTGAAATATAAAGTCTTGTATTTTAAAAAGAAAGAAAGAAGGGGAGGGTGATACACCGGTGGACCCAATTAACCAGTAAATTAGAAATTTGCCAACCAGTAGAGATTCTGGACTATTCTCTCTATCGCGGTTACACGCTCAAGTGACGTTGCTGTGCTACGTCGTGGTCACGAAAACTTATCGTTTGCACACATTTTTAAGCACTGCAGTTTAAAAAAACAATTGATGTTAAGCCATTGAAACGCAATCAACAGTGAAAGAGAACTCATTTTACTACATGCGCCTGCTGTTTCTGAGCACTGTCAGAGAGGCAGCACGCGCGTGAAGACTGCTCATAGAGCGCAGGAGTACTGAATGGAGTTATTTTGGCTGCTTGCTTTTTTCAGCCTTGAACGGTTAAATACACACACTTGTATGTGTCAAAATGCCCGTCTTTGCAAGTATCCTCATAAACACAGTAATTTAGGCCTTAAGTGAAAGCAAACAACTGAGAAAGAAAACACACATGTAACAGTATATTGGATCCGGGCAGCTCTTAAAGTGATAGCAGTCTAATATTCCTCCTGTCTGTCATTCATATTAATCAAACAGTGAGAGAAAATCTGAGCGTTGTGCGAGTATCTGCTCAGAGAATGAGATTTGTGCTCTGCGATTGTTGTAGTGAACTCGGCGCTTCTGTCCCTTCGAGCGTCTGCTGCTGTAATTGAAATGTCAGAGAGAGAGAGTCAGATGGAAAAAGCACACTCACTGGTAAAGTAGTTACTGGGGAAATTGAGAGTATTAATATGACACTGCTTTCAGCTTCATCCTGACCTAGTGTCCCCCCCCCCCCCC